CCTGTGATGGACTTGCGACCTGTCCAGGGTGTACCCCGCCCCTCGCACAATGATTGCTGGACATGGGCACCAGCGACCCCCGTGACCCAAAATGGAATAAGCGGGTAAAGATAATGGATGGATGGATGGAAACAGTGTAAGTTGTATAATAGGATATAAAAGGGGAAAGAAAAAAAAGGAGATAAAAAAGAAAGGAGGAACCGGGTTAGGTTTAGGAATGCTGACCCCCGTGTTTTTGGGCTATGCGTATGGTGATCTGACAGTGTATGCTGACTGGACAGAACACCAGCTCGTCTTCACCACTGGTGACGTCACCACAACTAACTCCTTCAAAGAAGCGCACCCTCACCTGTCAGTGAATGTTGGTGACTGTCATCAGAACAATCTGAACATTACCATAGAACTCCTGCTCATTAACTCTCATCTCTTTAGATTGTGCCGGCCCAAGGACCAAGACCTCCACCAGAAGCAGTTTATTAATAAACTTTTTAAACCTTCCTGTTTTCTGTGATCTGGTTCGAATCCCTAAACCTGGTTCTTGTCACTCCAGACATGTTTTTGTCTCCCGTCGTGGAGGGAAGAGGTGGAACTGGAATATCCTCCGTCGGTCCGTGATGGTTGTGAACGTGATAACTTGAAAAATAAGTTGAGGTGTTGACTTCCATTCTGTTGTGAGGCTGCATGTTAGAGTAAGAAAGGTCACCTTCAAAAATTGGGTTGCCTTGTTAAAATCCAAGATGGCCACCACCATGCAAATATATGTAAATCAGCCACCCATATCATTTGAGGAAACTATACTTTTTAGGTTTTATATTACCTATAAGTATAGCTTCCTCAAATGTTTGGGGTGGCCCATGATTAATCTATGGTGACCAAGGGCACCACTGGCCACCCCCTGGCTCCTCCATTGCACCTGTTGGTGGATAAATTGCTCCCTCCACTCGCCGGGATCCTTCACTCTGCGCAACCTCGGACAGGCAAAAAGCAAACGTGTAACTGCTATCAACTTAAATCTGTTGCACCAAGAACATTTAGGGTTACTCCATTCTCTGTTCAGTTCCAGTCCAGAAAAACACTCATCTCCAAAACTACAAACATTCACTATTCAAATCCATCAGCAACAGGAAACTTCAGTGTACCACTTGTCATATTTAGACTATGTTTTTGGTGGGTGGCACCTCTCAGCTAGTAGGTCACCAGTTCAAATCCCGGCCGAGGTCCTTTCATTGTGGAGTTTGCATGTTCTCTCTGTGCATGTGTGGGTTTTCTCTGGGTACTCCGGTTTTCTCCCACAGAACAAAAACATACATGTTGGGTTGTTTTTTTCTCACTGGCTCTTTCACGAGGCGCACACATCTCTTCTCTCTCCCTGTTCTCCTGTTTTTTTTTCTGTCTGTGTGTAGGAGCAGCTCCTATTTGTACACATCTTCTGAAATGAAAACTACTGTTTTGGATCTGACCCAACTGGACGTTCAACACAAATGACAAAACCTTTTCAACAAAGCGACTGGGTCCTGGAGAACCCTCATCTGCTCGGACGACACGCACACAGCTGGATATATCTCTGGAGGTGATGGGTCTACCTCTGCTGTCGATCAAGGACACCGAAAACAGAATGGGATGAAGATCTTTCAGTTATCAGGCTCCTCTCTTGTGGAACCAACTTCCAGTTTCTGTCCATGAGGCTGACACATTGTCCAGTTTTAAAACTGGGCTTAAGACTTTTCTTTTTGATAAATCCTATAGTTAGGGTCGGCTTGGGTTTCCCGAGTTGTCCCTTAGTTATGCTGCTTTAGGCTTAGACTGCTGGAGGACAAACTGACCACATTTCTTCACTTTACTACCGTCTTTACTTACTCTGCTCAACCTGTTTTGTATTTGTAATTTTTTTAATCCTTACATGTTTTTGTCTTTCAGGTTCACCTGGACCTACCATTCTGTGTTCGTCTGTCTCTCCTTCCTGTCCTCTCAACCAGCCGGTCAAAGCAGATGGCCGCTTGTCCTGAGCCTGGTTCTGCTGGAGGTTGCTTCCTTTTAAAAGGGAGTTTTTCCTTTCCACTGTTGCCACTGTGCTTGCTCAGGATGGGAGACTGCAACGAAGCCAAGATTCAACGTGTCTGCTGGATTCCTTAGAGAGAGAACTTTACTAATGGGCTTTTCTTTGTATGTGAATATTCCTGTAAAGTGCCCTGAGACAACTTTGTTGTGATTTGGTGCTATAATAAATAAACTGAATTGAATGTAGACTCAGTGATTCTTCTTTCACTGTGTGCCTCCTCCTCTGACGCTCTTCATCTCTTCTCCACCAGGTCGTCACAGACGTAGAAAACTCTGATCAGAGTTCTGGAGCAGTTCACTTGTGTCTTCTTTTAAAACTCTCACACTTCAAATGTTTTGAGAAATATCAAACTGTTCAGCATGACTTACCTGTTGTCAGATTACCTTATCGCCCGCCGCTGAAGTTGAGAGGACAACAATGTTTTTACCCGTGTGTCTGTCAGCACACGAACCACTGGATGAATTTAAAGAAACTTTCAAGAAATGTTCATTACATGTCCGTCTACAGCTGATTACCTGCTGCAGTCAGCTGACTTTAGAAACCCCCAAATATCTGTAAGTAAGTCAACTTCCTGTTAGATATTTTATCGCTTTTGCACTAAAAAGTTTGGTGTATTTCTTAGTTTATATCTTAGTTTTTCTTTTACATTTTATTGTTGAATGTAAATGGGACCCTGTGTACATAATTTCGTTCCACCACATGTACCACATGTGATGCAGATGACAATAAAGAATCTTGAACTTTGACCTATTGAGCAAATTTTTGGTGCAGCGATCGCCAAGAGCCGTCCTCCACGAGGCTTCATCAAAACTTCAACTTTGTCCCTTCTCAGCACCAGAAATTAAAAACTTTGGCTTAATGATGTTCAAAGAACGCTCAGCCTTAAATAGATGTCATAAAATGTATTTACCATTTTTAAACATTTTGCACCAAATAAATGGAAATGTATAGAAAATGTTTTACAAAGACTGTTTCTGCATTCTCTGTTTAAAATCATGTAACTGAAAATGGTCTGAACGTGCTGCACAATGTATTCATTATTGGAAACAAGGATGAATATGTTTATTAAAGTATGATTTACCTGTGACAGAACCTTTGAAAAGGAAAAACATTTAACATACAGGTTCTAAAATCCTACTACTGAAGTTTGGTAAAACTAAGTCTACACACGTGCATAAAAGGACAAACTTGCCACATTTCAAATTTCCAAAATAACCTTTATTCTAAACTTACATTTTAAATTTTAAGTTTAGTATAAAAAAGTTAAGTGCACCTAAGTTCTTTTTTTTTTTTCCTCCAAAGTATTTCATCTTAGACACATCTCAGCAAACTGTAGTGACACTCATCTCCTTTAGTAATCTTAAAAGATAGAATGTGTACCAAAGTCCGTCACATCACTTTAGTACGTCCATTTTTACAAAATGTTGTAGAGAATCTCTGAACTAGAAATGTCCATAAACCTTCAACAAAGACTGTCCGTCAGCGCGCTGTGGTTGGCGTAGCATCTACCGCTCAGCTGGAGCTTACACAACTCCAGACCGCTGGAATGAAGTCACCGTTTCACACCGATTTACCGTCAGAAATGAAAAATATAAGTCAAGTGTGGACGTTTTAACAGCTGTGGCTTGTATGGAATGGCAGCAGGAGTGAATAAAAACTGAGGAGTTCTGGAATAAATTTTTAAAAAGCTACCTCATCTGACAGGACATGTTGGTCTCATGTGATGTGGAAGCTTTTCTGAGTTTATTCTTTGCATCATCATCGGATGAATGGAGCAGGTTTCCAGACAGATCGTTTGGGTTTAAAATACTAAAATCATTACATTTGGGACAGTTGGCAGCCACAGCTATTAAAAGTTGGAATTGTTCGTCGGATACCCAGCGACACTCTCACCACGATGACACATGTTGACATCCGTGCTGATCACTGACCCAGCCTCCAACGCTTCGTTTAGCTTTGCCGGCAGCTTCATGGAGACTCCAGAGCACAACACCCGTTGATGAACCCCGCTGCTGCAGGTTTGCTTCACGCCGTTACATTAATTTCAACATGGCTGGACAGATTTTAAAATCTAACTGTTCAAAAAAACATCACAGCTTCTTTAAAAAGTCACGAGAACAGAATGTGAAAATAAAGTAGACCGTTTGCAGCTCCTCAGTTTCCCTCAGCAGTGCATTACAGATACAATAAAAACAAAAAGGTGCATAAAGTACGCAGCAACTCAAAGATGCATGTGAGCCACGCAGAGCCACACCAACACAGCCACGGCTGCAGTCACGGCACAGCCGAGGATCCAACTGCGTCCCGACGCCGCCTTCAAACATACGGCCGAGATGAAACTGAAACGTTGCCTCCAGATCTTTGGTACAACCAGCTCATTGGTTATACGATCACATTATCAGCCTAACTACTCGTGGAAATCACTTGAATGTTGACACAAACAACCTCAAAAACAATTTTAATAAATTCCTCCTATAAAGAAAACGTGTCTCAAAAAGAACGAGCGCTGTCAAAACGTGTTCGATGCTAAATGATACAACGCGACGACAGAAGAAAACACTTCGTGATGAACTCTGGGTATCCGACTGACAGAATACATCAAATGTTACACCAACCACCTCTACCTCATCTTTCTATTTGGATTGAATTTCTTTCCTTTAAGTTTACTGAAGTGGAGTTGCTTCGATTCGGGGCTGTCCCCAGTGCTCTTTGGCACTCGACTATGTTCATCTACACGTTGCCCAACAAGGTACAGTAAACCACTTAAGATATTGCATTAAATCTTTTATTTAAGCTTCTGATTTTAATTTATTTCATTTACAACAGATTCAAACAGAACCATCTCTCAGACGATTCGCTGTGCAACAAATTTGATGTGGTACGTTTGATACTGTGCAAAAGACACGACAAATCTAGCTAAGAGCATCCAGGATGCCAATTCTTTTTTTTTTTTTTTACTTTTATTCTTATAGTTGAGATGTAGCATCTCATGATCATCATACTGGTATTTACACAGAACTATTACACACCTATTATTTCAACTACACTAATTAAAAACAAAAGAAAAAAAAAAGAGACAGGTGGAGGTTTCTTTTTATTTGCGCTTTGACTGTAACTTTTGTCGTTTTGCGTTTCACTTTCACCATAAAGCAGCTAAACTATAGAATGCAGGTCTGGCATTTCAAGGTTTCACCTACGTTAAGTTTTACAAGAAGACGAGAACATCTCAGTGTTTTTTAGAGACCGTTCGATCAAAGAGGAACAGGTCTCCTGAGCAGATGCCTGAACCAAATCCAATCAGGAATGATCAGAGATTCAATCCAATGAATTACGGACAGATTATTTTAAATTCTGCGTTTTGTCCTCTCCAGGTGGCGACGGTTATCGTTTGATCTCTAGGTCAGAAGTGGAGTACTGTACCTTTCACAAGGGCTCTAAAATATTACATTCCGTTAGGTGATATCAGTATTGTGGCATGGCCAAGCAGCCTGAAGAGGAAGGCGTAAGGAGGAAGGGAGGACTGGGGAATTATCTGGGATGTGGGGGGAACGGTTTAGGCATGAACAAGGAGGGGGAATAGCTGCTGTTACCAGATGGTATAACCTCCACTGGATCCACCCAGGAAGAAGTTATTCTTGCGCTGCGTCATGACAACATTGGCACCCTGCATGGCAGCCAGCTGAGCTGCGTTAGGGGGGTGTCCAGGAGGTGGGGGCTGCAGAAGGGCAGAAACAAGTTTGGGAATTGAACTTAAAAGAATTAATAAATAAACATTGCTCATAACTCACTGGGATGGAAACGCTGCTGCCGGTTGTGAAACGGGCTCCGGCGTCAAAGCCGCCTTCCACCATCACCGTTGATCCGTGCGGGTAGACGGCCCCCATGGGATAGTAGGCCATGGGAACGTTCTGACCCACCGGACCAACTTGCATGGGAGGCTGCATGGGCATATACACCTGAGCACCAGGGTAGGGGGAGGACATCTGAGGCACCTGACCAGGCACCTGAGGTGGAAGCACATATCTGGGCTGGTATATCTGCAGACACAGGAGGAAAAATCTAAAACTTCATTCATCTTATGTTGTTATGCTTACAATACTTGTAAGACTGGCTCAGTTATGTGTTAGCTGATGGTTAGCTGTGCTGTCATCTCGACTCCAAAGTGTAATCAGGTGTTGATGTACAAACAGTTTAGAAACAGTAATCTGAGAGTTTAGGGTAAAGGTGCAACAGTTACCTCAGAATATGCAGGAGGTGTGTCTGAGTAAGGAGGTGCCTGAGGAGACATTTGCATAGCAGAGGGGTAGACAGGTGCAGAGCTCTGCTGAGGGTACACAGTCTGCTGTGGATATGAACCTGCAACACAAGGGTTCACTTTAAACAAACATTTATAGTTGAACAAATACAATGTCTCCTATGACCTCTGGGAGTTGAATTTGTACCACTGTGCTGCGGTGTATAGATATATTTTTTAATGAAATCGTCAAGACTTGCATTATATTCTTGTGGGAAGTGACTTGTTGCAGGATGACGAGTTAGAAAAGAAGCCAGAGAACACGTGAACCTATCAGTAACCTGAGATTATAACAGTCGCTGTTATAGAAGCATGAATCTCTGTTGTGGTGAGTACATTTCAGTAAATACCTGTAACAAACGTAACGGGTCAAAAACACTAATTCTTTATTGCTATGTTTCCAGTTTATGGTCGTTATCCTTTCAAAGTAAAATACGAAATTCAAAGCTTTCATTTTCTTGCAATAAAAACTGAAAAGAGTTCAATTAAAAACTGTACAATTATGAGCAGCTGATTATTGTGTAAAACATCCGAATTGGGATCACTCTGTGGTTTACAAAAAACACCATAGTTGGTTTGTGTGGAGAATTTTTTTCTGCATTATCAGTATTTTACATACAATAAAAAATAAAAAAAATAAAAAGAACTGAGCAGGTAAATAAAAACATCAGGCGCCTTCACATTAACAGCTGGAGCCTTTAAGAAGAAGATGGTCAAATTAAACAGGAGAAAACTGATGGAAAAATGTCATTTTTAAAGTTTAACCTCGCAGTCTGGAGTTATCAGAATTCAGAAAAGTAGTTTTTTTTTTTTAAAAGGCAAAAATTCAGCTCTAAAAGTGAATAATGATGTGAAATTGTTACAAGCTTCGATTGGTAAAAAGAAACACTGAAAGTTTATTTTTATAAAATTAAGACTTGTGACATTTCTGCTTAATAACAGTATAAAATGTACAATTACTTGTCAATTAACAGAAGCTATTTTAAACATTATGCGGTTCTGGTGTAACAAAAAGTAACAAAGAGTTTCTGTCTACAAACACCAGCCTCATCATGTAGCAGGTAACTAGCATGTTCACCTCTTATCATATACATTTAATTATAAATCGTGCTAATTCTGAATACAGTCATCAGCATCAGATCTGTCGTAAAACGTGTAAGGAGGCTAATGTTGGATTTCATATTTTTACCCTCAGGTTCAGCTTTATTACGCGGAACTGCTCGAACAAATGAAACCAAACATGGAGTAGCAGAATGTGATAAATTCCTGGACTCCGCTGTTGGAAACGAAACATCCGGAGCTGCCGTCAACACGACGACATCTGAAACAACCAGGATTTCTACAAGAACACAGTATGACGGTAAATGTGGCGCCTCGGCTCGGAGTGCGTCAGTTTATTGTTATGTACGTAGCTCCAGACGGCCACAGGCTCCTCTCTCGTCTCTACTTCCAGGCCCAGCGTCGCGGAGCGGACAGCTAGCCGACAAAAGTCACCCTCCGCGGGGACGTACCTTTGTTATTCATCGTTGTGGACTGCTCCGGGGGCCGAGGAACATGGGATTGAGCGGAACTCTGAGTATCTTGTCTTGGCCTTGTTTCAGCTTACGGCTTGACACTTCCTTGTTTCTGAGCTTCTTGTTGTTGTGGAAGCGGTTACGTCACCAGCTCTTTATCTGCGGCGGGACGCACGCTCAGTTACAGCTCTGCGCGCGCGCGCCCCCTGCTGGTGGCGACTGGTAAAGACAAGTCAGGAGAAGCACGTTCAACCCTGAGAAGGGTGTCTGCGCGTGCGTGTTGGTCTTCAGAGTTAGCAAAATATCTTTCCATTCAAGTGGACCGACTTTAATGAAACTCAGAAATCAATACAACGATTCAAGATGGCCACCACAGAAAAACAACTTTAGCAAAACAAACATGCTGAATAAATATCCTGATACATGCTCAATAATCCAGGTAGAAAAATCCGAAAAAGTTCAGTCTGGTCCTCTGGACATTCAAAAAACAAGAAAACAAAAAAGACAAAAAAACAAAACAAAGCAAAAAAAAATGTAGAAACGTTTCATCTCTCATCCAAGAGACTTCCTCAGTCTGAGGTGCTGTTTTCAGCTCAGTCTCTTAAATAGCACCTTCTCAGAGTGGATCAACCAGTTTGCTGCTGACAACCAAAACCAGCTGCTCACATGCTCAAGAAGGACCATCAGCCTAACAATGGATCATTAGCACACTGATGGCTGTTTACTGTTCACAGAGGGTTGAGTGATACTAGCAATCACAGCATTGTAAGAGGGGGACAGTTGAACCCGGAGGCCTCCACCCCTGTTTAATGATGGATGATTTCTTTTCACAAAGATGGCCTCCTTTACTCTTCTCTCAAACCATCGTTCCTCTCTGTCCAGGATGTGAACATCTTCATCCCTGAAAGAGTGACCGCTGGCCTGGAGATGAGTGTAGACCACAGAGTCCTGGCCTGATGATGTTGATCTTCTGTGCTGGGCCATCCTTTTGGCCAGTGGCTGTTTAGTTTCCCCGATGTAAGACTGATCACAGCCCTCCTGACACTGAACAGCATACACAACATTACTCTGTTTGTGCCGGGGGACTGGATCTTTGGGATGAACCAGTCTTTGCCGTAATGTATTTTGGGGTTTAAAAGCCACTGGGACGTTATGTTTAGAAAATAAACGTCTCAGTTTCTCTGATACTCCCTCAACATATGGAATGACTACTGGTCTGGGTTTGGGCTCCTCCTTTTCACCTGATGGCTGACTGGAGTCCTGTTTGGGTTTCTTCTCTGCTTTCAGGAAGGCCCAGTTAGGATATCCACATTGCTCTAGAGCCTGACTTGTGTGGGATTTCTCCTTCTGCCTGGCTCCTGAGTTAGTGGGGATGCTGTCTGCTCTGTGATACAGAGTCCTGATGACTCCTAACTTGTGCTCCAAAGGGTGATGGGAGTCAAACTGCAAATACTGGTCTGTGCGGGTGGGTTTGCGTTACACCTCAGTTTGCAAATGTCCTCTATCAGAGACTGAGACCTCACAGTCCAAGAAAGCCAACTTGCCATTTTTTACATCTTCTCGTGTGAACTTGATGTATTTATCCACAGAGTTGATGTGGTCAGTAAAATGTTGGACTTCCTGAGATTTAATTTTAACCCAGGTGTCTTTCTTGGACTGTGAGGTCTCAGTTTCTGATAGAGGACATTTGCAAACTGAGGTGTACTGCAAACCCACCCACACAGACCAGTATTTGCAGTTTGACTCCCATCACCCTTTGGAGTACAAGTTAGGAGTCATCAGGACTCTGTATCACAGAGCAGACAGCGTCCCCACTAACTCAGGAGCCAGGCAGAAGGAGAAATCCTACACAAGACAGGCTCTAGAGAAATGTGGATATCCTAACTGGGCCTTCCTGAAAGCAGAGAAGAAACCCAAACAGGACTCCAGTCAGCCATCAGGTGAAAAGGAGGAACCCAGACCCAGACCAGTGGTCATTCCATATGTTCAGGGAGTATCAGAGAAACTGAGACGTTTATTTTCTAAACATAACGTCCCAGTGGCTTTTAAACCCCAAAATACATTACGGCAAAGACTGGTTCATCCCAAAGATCCAGTCCCCCGGCACAAACAGAGTAATGTTGTGTATGCTGTTCAGTGTCAGGAGGGTGATCATTCTTACATCGGGGAAACTAAACAGCCACTGGCCAAAAGGATGGCCCAGCACAGAAGATCAACATCATCAGGCCAGGACTCTGCGGTCTACACTCATCTCCAGGCCAGCGGTCACTCTTTCAGGGATGAAGATGTTCACATCCTGGACAGAGAGGAACGATGGTTTGAGAGAGGAGTAAAGGAGGCCATCTTTGTGAAAAGAAATC